TTAAGGGGGAATCAATTGAAGCTTGTGGTTTTTTCTTCTCGTTGGGTCTGAGCAGTGGGTGGTTGCAGAGAGGAAATGGAATGCGTAGGATAGAGGATGATTGTTATCAGACAAACTTACTAGCCCCCGTGTTGTTTAAGGAAATACAGGAATGTATCAGCACGCAAAAGCGAGCCCTGGCTGCGTTAGGGCAACCTGAAAGAATTCCCTTCCTGACCCCAGGCTTATATGATGCCCAGACGCAGGAGAGTCGACATCCCTTCCAGCGCTTACTATTGTAACTCTGGCTATTTTCGTGAGCCCCATAAGAGTCCAGCCCCTTCTGCTATGCTGCGGAGCTCTTGGCTTCAGGGAGATCTTGTCTTGGCGAGTTCCACAAGCTAATTCTGTGCTGGGGGGAGAAGTGGGTCAAGGGGGGTTGAGAGTGTGCAGGTGTGCACGCACCGATGTAAGCACAAAGCAGCAGTCCTGGGACCAAAGGAACCCCTGGTGTAACTGTGCAGAAGTCCCTGGGTTTGGGCTAGTTCTCTGCTCCTTTTCAATGATCTGCAGAGCCCTGTTGTATTCTCTGGGGTGCCGTGGATCATCTGAGTGTACTTGGTCCTGGTGAATGCAGCTTGCCCACAGATCCCACAGCTTGCCCACAGATCCCACAGGCAGCAGCAGGGTGAGGGTCAGACGCACGGTACCCCCTGCCCACCTGGAGAGGGGAAGTCAGTCTCCATTATGACTCCACCCATGGGAGTTAGGCACCTAAATCCCTTCAAGGATCAGGGCCTTAGTGTCTCGGGTCAGGGCCAACTGCAAATGTTCTCAAACGTGCTCCTTTTTGCATCGGTCTCCTTGCAGCCACGGTCTGGGTCGCTCCTTGCTAATTTAGTTAATAAATCCATCCCGAAAGGGGTAACCTATGAATACCGTTGTCTCTCTAACGAGCTGCGGCCCAGCAGGGGGTATGGTTTATAGAGCAGCTACAAGGGGGCTGCAGGGTGCAAAAGGTGCCTCCGAGTCACAAGTGGCTGAGCCTGGTCATAAAGGTCTGTACAGCTGTGGTCGCAGCAGGCTAGGAGCTCTGGCCCTTTATCGGTGTTGCTGCTTGTGCCAGGCCGAGGGGAAAGGCCTGGGTCAAGCAAGGTTCAGCCCATCTCGCCGCAGCCACACCAGGGCATCTCAGCACTCCGTCCCGCCTGCTCTCCCAGCTCCCCACCGCACCAGATCAGACCATGGGCCCACCTTGCCCTGACCCCCTCCCCCTGACTGAATAACACCTCAAAAGGCCAAGGGGAGCGGACTAGACAGGGCAGATCAAACATTGTGACCCATCTAAGCCGGGATCCGTTTGCAGCCCCGCCGATTCCATCTAGTCCCATATCCTGCTTTTGGCAGGAGGCTAGGAGAGAAGCAACTCTTGAATTCCACAGGTTGGGCCTCCTCCCTTCCTGACCCCTGCCTGTGCAATAGCCCTGGAGCCTGCGATTTGCTAGCCTCACAGGGCCTTTAAAGCCCTGTATCAGCGTGTTTGTGCCGATGGAAAGTTTTGGTGCTTCCCCCGCCCCGTGGCCCCATTAGCTCACTCCTGCCAGGGGGTGATGGGGAGTTGTTTACTGGTACCTGCCTGCAAGCAGCAGGTAGGGGTTTTCACCTGTTGGTGTGTGGTGAGCAGTGGAGGGGAGGCTGTGAGATTTCTCTGCCCTGGAGAAGTTTCTGCCTTCCTGCGCGGTGGGAGGTGCGTCCCAGTTGTGGGTTAGCGTCAGGCGATCTGCTGCCTGCTGAGGTTTCGAAGACGATGGGGGGACGAGTTCTCGGTCCTTATTTAGGGCGCTGATCGCCTGGGTTCATTACGCAGCAGGGTGGGGGAGGAGGAAGGGGACATCGATAAGGGAAGCTCTAGAGAGGAAGAGCAAACCAAATGGGCGCCTGGCGTATCACAGAGCAAACCAGCGCAGGAGCTGGGCCGGTGCCAGGGGGCTGCCTGCGGGGAGGAGATGCTTGGGAAAGCAGCTGTTGGGCCTGGAAGGTGCAGGATGTGGTTACGCGCGGCCCTTCGTGAGGGGCTTTCAACTGAGGGACTTGGAGCTCTTTGATGCTCATGGCTCCCCGTGGCCAGAGGCCCAGGGGGTTCAGGAAGACACAGAAGCTGCTGTCCTGCTTCTCATCCCTGTTGGATCTGCCCCTCCCAGAGCTCAGCATGGATCCCAGGAGTCCTGATGCCCCGTCGCCCCGTCCTAACCACTAGGCCCCACTTCCCCTCCCAGAGTTGGAGATCCAGGAGTCCTGGTTCCCAGCCCTCCTGCTCTAACCACTAGATCCCACTCCCTGCCCAGAGCTGAGGATGGAATCCAGGAACTAGATTCCCAGTCTTCTGCCTCACATACCCTCTCTCTCCCACTTTCCAGCTTAATTTTGGCATCACATTCCCACTACAAAGCAGCAGAGAACTCAGTGTGTCAGTCCCCATAAACTCCTTGCTGTCAGCAGAGCCCCCAACCCCCTGCTTGGCCCATGGGCCTCGACCTTCGGAGACATGTGGACTTGGTGCCAAATTCTAAGCCCCAGTGACACTGGTTGGATTCCAGGTGTTTACGCATGAGCAGGGCACAATTCCCTGGTTTGCTGTTTATTCACAATCCTGACCCTCCTTTAAAATTGTATGCCAGCCCCTAGCAGTGACAGGCTTGGGGTTTTTGCAGGAGTTATTTCAGTGGTAGATTTTGTTGCCCTTCTTGGAAAAGTTTGCTCTGCACCAGATTCCATGAACTGCAGTCTGGGGCCTGACACATGCACGGCAATACCCCCGTCCCAAACCACAGCCCCGCCCCTCCTTGGGCCAGCAGTAAGTTGGAGTCCCCAGGAACGAGGCTGTTCACACCTCTCAGAGCTGTTGGTGTAGGCTGTCTGCAGATTCAGGCAGGCATTGGTTACGCTCGGGGCCTGTTTTCAAGCTTTTCTGTGCGTCCTTGAGGAGTAACTTTTCTTTTTTAAATGAAAGCTGAATTTCTGCTGGGGCATTAGCAGCTGGGGCATTAGGACAGACTATCGTACTTGTGCCTTAATCCAGACTTGATCCCCACAGGACACCCCTGCTTATTACTGCACGATCCTAGGTGTCTCAATGTCTTCTGAGACGGCTTGTCTCTGTCCCAGGTATTTCTCAGCAGTGGTTACAGCAGGGTGTGCCGGGGAGGCTGGGAGCCAGGATTCCTGGGTTCTGTTCCCAGCACTGGGAGGGGAGTGTGGCTGAGTGGTTAGAGCAGGGCGGGTGGGCGCCAGGACTCCTGGGTTCTGTTCCCAGCACTCAGAGGGGAGTGCCCATGCAGATGCAAGCCCAGGGCTGCCAATCCAGTTCCCTAACGAAACCCCCCTGGCGAGCAGAGTGCCCAGGCAGGAGCTGCCTGCGAAGGGGTTAAGGGGGCCCCGGCCGATGATGAGATGATCTCCAGGTTATGTAACCAGCCATCATGTGACAATAATCTCTGAGGGGTGGGTAGGGTGCTTATCAGTGCGGAAGAGCTTTACTCTGGCTGGATAATTAACCCCCGGAAAGAAGAGCTGCTGGGCTGTGCAGTGGGGCACAGGGGTGTGGCTTAGGCCCAGGGGGCAGGCTGGCACAGGGGAGCATGGCCACAGGGTGACCCCATCTGTGACATCAACCCCATTCCTTCTCCCTCCCGAGGCCACTGGGAGCCTGGCTGGGTCCTGCCCCTCTCTCCCTGCTGAGCCTGGCAGCTGAGTGGAAGGCAGAGGCGGGACTAGCAGAGGTGCGCTGCCTGAGCGACAGCCCCAGCAGCCAGTTGCTGGCCGGGTTACCGCAGCCTGAGATCCCTGCACACTGCTATCCAGCGGGGCGAGCGCCCTGGCCAGTCTCTGGCATCCGGGCATGGGAGGAAATGTGAGACGAGGGTGCCCCTGTGTGGGCAAACTCTGCGTAACACTCAGCACTTTCCTGGGGAGTTGGCAAAATAAATCCTTCCTCGCTGGTTTCAGAGGAACAGCCGTGTTAGTCTGTATTCGCAAAAAGAAAAGGAGGACTTGTGGCACCTTAGAGACTAACCAATTTATTTGAGCATAAGCTTTCGTGAGCCACAGCTCACTTCATCAGATGTGTACCGTGGAAACTGCAGCAGACTTTATATACACACAGAGAATATGAAACAATACCTCCTCCCACCCCACTGTCCTGCTGGTAATAGCTTATCTAAAGTGATCAGCAGGTGGGCCATTTCCAGCACAAATCCAGGTTTTCTCACCCTCCACCCCCCCACACAAATTCACTCTCCTGCTGGTGCTAGCCCATCCAAAGTGACAACTTTTTACATAATCAAGTCGGGCTATTTCCTGCATAGATCCAGGTTCTCTCACTTCCCCCCCACCCCCATACACACACAAACTCACTCTCCTGCTGGTCTAAACTGACCACTCTCCAAGTTTAAATCCAAGTTAAACCAGAATATCTGGAGGGGGGGGGGTAGGAAAAAACAAGAGGAAACAGGCTACCTTGCATAATGACTTAGCCACTCCCAGTCTCTATTTAAGCCTAAATTAATAGTATCCAATTTGCAAATGAATTCCAATTCAGCAGTTTCTCGCTGGAGTCTGGATTTGAAGTTTTTGCTTCAAATTTTTGAAGTTCTCGCTGTTGGCGCCAAGCTAGTTTACTCACATAAAGGCTCCACCCGCAATCCTGGTGGCTGATTTAGCCACTTAAGGACCCCAACTCTGTCCTCTCTTAAATGGGGTCACCCCACAGGGTTCATTGAGATGGTCTGTGTAATAGAACCCAGGAGTCCTGGCTCCCAGCCTCCCTCCCGCGTTCTAACCCACTAGGCCCCACTCCCCTCCCAAAGCTGGGAATGGAACCCAGGAGTCCTGACTCTCAGCACCTGCTCGCTCTAAGAAGCATTAGACGACAGTGCCAAAGAGCCAAGCGAACACATGCAGGGCATGCCCAGCGCACTCCGGCCCGTGCTCATGATCTCCCTCTCTCTCGCTTTCAATCCTAGCACAAATAGAAGTGATCCCGTGTAAGATCTGTGGGGACAAATCGTCAGGGATTCACTACGGGGTCATCACCTGTGAAGGCTGCAAGGTGAGCAACACCCCAAATCCCCACTCCACTCCCCTGCCCCCGCTTGCCTGATCTCTGCGACCAGGAGCGACCCGGGTGTGGGATTCCTTTCCAATTCCCTTGGCGCTCCCAAATACACAGAACCCTGGGACAGCGCCCTTCAGAGGGGGCCGTGGGCCAGTGCTGGAGCAGATGCTGCCCAGGGTCTGCCAGCAGGGCTGTGGGACCATTGGCGTTCCGGCCCTGCTTAGCACCCGCCCAGCAGCTAATCAGCATGCCCTGGCCCCTTGGCCCTTTACCGCCACACCAGAGTGGAGATCGGCCCATCGTGGCTTGTTCAGCTCTGGGACCAGTCAGCACCAGCCACTGTGTTGATTTTATGCCGCAGATGCTCCTCCCCCAGGCGTTGGCACCCCCAGTTCGCTTCACACACAAGCCGCGGAGCTGCCGTGGTCAATTTGTGTGCCTCTCTCTCCCCAACCCGTTGTTTCAGGGGTTTTTCCGCAGAAGCCAGCAAGGCAACGTGACGTACTCCTGCACCCGCCAGCAGAACTGCCAGATTGACCGGACCAGCCGCAACCGCTGCCAGCACTGCAGGCTGCAGAAATGCCTCAGCCTGGGAATGTCCAGAGATGGTAAGATGTTTGAAACAGCTGCCACGCTCCAACCCAGAGGTGGCTGCATTTCAGTGCTGGGTGAGAGATCCCCGTTTAAACAGCTGCCATACCCCATCCCAAAGGTAACTGTATAATAGTACTGGGTGAAGGATCCCTGTTTAAACGGCTGCCAGGCCCCACCCCAGAAGTGGCTGAATTTCAGTGCTGGGTGAATGATCTCTGTTAAAACAGCTGCTGCCTCCCACCCCAGAGGTCCCTGCATTTGACCCATTTCTTATGCCCTGAAGTTAAAAATACCTGGACATTTCTTTTGCTTCTGCCCTTTACTCCATCTAACCCGGTCTCTCATCTCTGACAGTGGCTGGTACCAGCTGCTTTTTGGGGTATTCAACAAAAAAACTAAAAACAGTTTTGGGGGGGGGGGGGTTAAATGTGCTTTTCAGTTAAAAAAAATTGTTTTTGTTAAAAGTAAAAAAAGTAAAACATTTTAACCGAAAAAAAAAAGTTCAGGTTTTGGTTTAAAAAAAACCTGGAAAATGTCATTGGGAAAGATTTTTTTTCTGTAGAAACTTTTCTATTTGACCACAAGCCATTTATCACCAAAAATCAGTGATGATGGACAAACAGCAGCCGGCCCCTGTCGCCATCCCACTGGTTCCCAAGTCCTCCAGTTTAAGAGGCTCAGTGGGAGAGAGTCTAAGCTGCACCCCCTGCAGGTGTCGATGAGAACCAGCAGCCCAGGTGTGCACCCTCTTCCTTCTATGCTGCTCTAAGGGTTGAAAGCACCTCCAGTGTAACTTGGAGCAGTCTAGCGTGCTCTATGTCTGGACTAGTATCCCTATTGTGCAGATGGGGAAACTGAGGCACAGCTTGCTCACAGTCTGTAGCAAAGCAGGGAATTGAACCAGTGGGCCAAACTATCTCTGCAGAGCTACCTGTGGCTTGTGGCACAGGGCAACTTAGCCAGAGCTGCATGTGCTCTGGCCCCGCCCCCAGCATGCCCCCTACGCCAAGGCTTGAAGTGGGGGTGGGATCTGTGGAAGGCAGCCAGTGGCAGCCCAGCGCAGCGCCGGAGCCTGCAGAATTCCCCCTCAGCTCCTTGCTGCAGGCTGCAAAGGCCTCTGAACGCCAGCAGAGCGGCGTACAGGAGCTGGGGCGTGAGCAGGGGAACCACCCTCCTTTCCAGCCCAGAGAGGGGTTGAACCTTCATTCTCTTCCGCCCCCCTGGGCATAAAAAGGTTCGGTTCTCGAGACGGCACCAGACTCCTCGGCTAAGGAGGAGTCCTCAGGCTGGGGATTATTAAAGGCGCTAAAAAAGCTACAAGTGGAGGCCAGAGGAAGTGAAAGGGAAGTGCAAATAGTGAGGTTTAGGGCTGGTTAGGTAGCACCGTCAGCGCACAGCCCTGAGCCAGGCCGGGGGGAGGGGGGTTAAAGCAACCAGGAGGAGAGTGAAAGTCACAAAATACTACACAAACAAACACACACACACACACACACACCCCACCAACCCAATCCAAAGAGGATGGAAAAAGTAGCTCAAGCCTTTAGCTGGGTGTCTCTCAGTGGTGAGTATGTAGGTCGCTCGAGAGAGCCAAAGAGCCCGACCACGTGGCACATGCGATCAGCCTCCCGTTGCGACCGCGGTTCCTCTCTGCAGCTGGGTAGATGAGGCTCCTGCTCAGACACACGACCACATACAGACCCACACGACCACACGCAGAGCACGCACCGTTGTCCCCGCTCCCAAGTGAGTGCGCCGAGATGCTGAGATAGCCGTCCCCACCCCTAGGGCCACATTCAGATCCTGGGCGCTTCCCTAGCGCGAGGGATCTCAGGCTGGGGGTCACGCCCCCTGCCTTTCCCAGATTGCTGGGGGGGAGGGAGCAGCTGGCAAGATGGGAGCTTCTGGGGGAAGAAAGTCTGCGAATCGCCGCCCTGGGGCTTTTCATCCCCAAGGATCCCAAAGCATTTTATACCCCCCGTGATCGGCTACCTCTGAAATGCAGCCACCTCTGGGGTGGGCTGTGGGAGCTGTACAAGCAGCCACAGAGCAGTGTTGTCCTAGGGCGAGAAGTGAAAAGGATTGGAACTGCGGGGCAGAGTGTAAATGACCCGAATTGGGATACGGCCAGCAGCCCTGCTCCAGGGAAAATGCCCAGGGCTCGCTAGTGATCCAGGTTACGTCCCGTCCGCTTGGCGTGCTTTGCTGCTGGAGGGGAGTGATGGGGGTTTGTTATTGACTTGTTGGGGGGAAAGCACCTCTGTTAGGTAGTCACCTCCCTGCTGAACCACGGTTGGTGTCTCCCCGTCCCATCCAAGTGCTGCCCGGGCCCCACGCTTAACCACCAAGACAAACCTGGTGGGTCTTGATAGGCACAAGGAGCCAGATCCACCGCTGTCGAGGGGGGCAGCTCCATCAGTCACTTGGCAGCTCCTTCTGCCCTTTCCATCCCTGGCAGCTCGCGGCAGGCTCCTTATGGGACCTGCTGCCCCATTATGTCACCTGGATTTCCCAGGGGATGGAGGCCGCTGCTCCAGATCTCCAGGGAAGTGGCTGGGGCCAGCAGAGGGAGCCCAGGGCCCCTCACAACGGCTCCGGCCGCGAACCCAGGGCCAGCCTCAGCCCCAGCTCGACGCGTCCCTGCCCCTTTGTTCTCCAGCCGTCAAGTTTGGCCGCATGTCCAAGAAGCAGCGCGACAGCCTCCACGCCGAGGTGCAGAAGCAGCTGCAGCAGCAGCAGCAGCAAGGCGGCGAGGTGGTGGCCCCAGCCTACTCCCTGGGCCTGGCTAACGGGCAACTCAAGCTGGCCTCCCCCGCAGACCTGTTGGAGTCTTCAGCCTGCTCCACGGCCCCCCTGAACGGACAGGCGCGGCTGAGCCAGTCTCCGGACGAGACGGTGGCTCTGGCCTACCCCAACGGACTGGCCAAGGGGCACAGCCGGCTGAGCGACAACCTGCGCGGCCCCTTCGCCAGGGACTACAGCCCCGAGCGGATCAAGATGGAGAGCAGGGCCAGCGTCTTCTACGCCCTGGAGATGCAGGCGTCACCAGACCTCTCCCGGCTGGACATCGGCGGGGGCAAGCGGGGCCAGGCTGGGAGCGACATCGGGGAGACTGTCGACTTCTACACGAGTCCCAACTTCACCAGCATCCTGGAGTCGCCCAATTCCTCGGTGACTGAGATCGGTGAGTCTCTTGGGGCAGGAATGCCCGGCTGGGCAGCCTCGCCCTTCTAGGACCCCCACTCAGGCTGTATTACTGGGGGCTGCAGGCGGGGTTCACCATCCACAGAGGGATTACAGGTCTCATCCAGCTGTCAGCCGCGAGCTTAGTCTCTTAGCTTGAGCTGCTCTTTGTTCTGTTGGTCTTGGATTCGATCCCCGGTGACAGCTCAGATGATGGTTCTTACACTCAGCTCCCATCATTCCATGGGAACATCCTGCTCCATATCAGAGGATAACAGCCTACTGCAGCTACCAGCTAGTGGAGTTACTCCCCCACTGATACAGGAGAGGCCTATGCTTTTAACACTGCAGGTTCAAACCCTGCTAAGTGCCGGGCTGGGGGGGAGGGGGCAGATCGTTACACACAGAGGGGCCTGCGTGCCAAAGCTGGCAGTGCAGAGCGATAGACTCAGGAAACCACAGAAAAAAATGAAGGGAGAATCAGGGCTGCGGCCCAGGGACAGGCCCAACCGTTCCCCACGCTCCCCCTCTGAGCCTCGCCGCCTGCCGTCCACAGAGCACCTGACCCAGAATGTCCTCAAGTCCTACCGGGAGACCTGCCAGCTGCGCCTGGAAGACCTGCAGCTCCTGAGGCTGGAGACGTTCTCGTGGGAGGAGGTCAGGAGCTACCAGAAGAAGGTAAGAAGCGGGATGGGGGACATGGCTGGGAGCTGGTGGAGCCTTCTGCCAAGGGTGGTGCAGTGACTTCTATACTTGACTGATGCCCGGCACGGGATAATCTGGTAGCCAGGTAACGTGGGAAGCCAGCCCACCGGGGTATGAGGCTAGGATAAACACCTCCCTTCCGGCTAGCTAAGGGATCAGTGGGGAATGTGGGCAGAGCAGCGGGAAGGCTTCCAAAGCCCAAGTTCTGTTACATGGCCCAGTTAAGACTGGACCGGCAACTGGGCAGGAGGTCGCGTCTCTAGTGGTTTGGCCGAGAGAAACGACCAATGTTCTGCTCCTGGTTCTGATTTACTCTCTGGCCTTTGGGCAAGTCCCTTAGGGCCCAACTTGTTCCAGACTGAATCAGTTTTCCCAGGAGCAGAATCAGACTGTCCACCTGGAAATAGCCCGGGGGGATTTAAACAGAGAAGAGAGGGATGGTTTTTCTGCAGACATTCTAGACCAGCCTCCAGGATTTTCTAGCAAGGATATAAATTCTATAAGGTTGGCTTAAAAATTCTCTCCAGAGGATGATCTCTGTTCAGGTCTATGGGACCTTATTAAATTTTGGAGGACTTTTCCACAGTGGCTGTCTGTAAATTGTCTTCCTAAATGACACCAGTTCCAATTCTGGTGTTTCCTCTTGCACCACGGTGGAAGAGAATATAGCAAAGAGTTCTTAGCTGGCACGAAGCCCTAGCAAGCTTGTGGTCAGGGTCCGCTCAGCACTGGCTGCAAGAGGGGACTCGACTGAGTGACCCAGCGCGCGGTGTCTCTGACCTTTTGTGGCACTTTGGGGTTTAACATCGGCTGCATAGAACAGATGCTGCCCCTTTATTGTTTATCGTGACTTCATTCAGCGCACAGGGTTTTGTGTGAGTCACTGCTCGCTCAGTTGGGTTCAGATGAGGACTTCGCAATAAAATCAAGGGATGGGACAGAGGGAAGAAAATGAGTTTGTTTGATTCAGCAGCTAATTAAGATCCATTAACTAAATGGGAACCTCTGTCTGGTTTGCTAAATGCTTCATCAGCTTTCCAGATGAGGCCAAGTTGTTTCGGAGCAATTCATAATGGCCCTGGCATAGGAACATTCGGATCAATACAGACTCCAGCTTTGGGCCCGGTGGAGAGAGCAAAGGAAAATGGCTTATGTATGAGCAACCGCTGGGCTTCTGTCCTCTGGGGAGGAGACTAAGGGTTAACTGCCGCGGCAGGACTCCTGGGGTACAGGTGCAAAGTGCAGTAAAAGGGGCAATGAAAACCCAGAAAGAACTGGGGAAGGCTGCTCGAAATATTCTGTGGTAAATAGTTTGGAAGCAGAAACTTGGGGTTTCAGCTCAGTGAAATTTTGCCCAGAAAATGCCCCCTTCTAACGGGAAATTTCAGTTTTTCATCAAAAACCGAATGCCCCCAAAATGGAAAATTTCGGTTGAGAAATGCCCCTGTGGTGACTCATGCCTCTGTTCTCCTCTCTGGTCTGGGATCTCTGGCCGGACTTCATCCCCCACATTCCACCAGGGCCAGGGACACCCATGATGCACTGCATCCCCTCGCCAAGAGGGGAGACCATGGTGCATCATGGGAGATGTAGTCTAACCAGGGAGCCTGGCCTCTTCAGCAGAACGGGAGTGTGAGGCACTGTGGCAAAGTTCCTCCTCTGCCTTGGTGGGTCCTGTGCTTATTGGCCGATTTGCTCACCTCAGAGGTTCAGGGCAGCCCTCAGTGCTCAAATCTGCCGTTCACTCAGTTAGCCTCATCACTGGCCAGCATGGGGAAAAGGAAGAAGAACAATCCCCGCAGTCTCTGCTGATCCACCTAGTGGATCGGGGAACAGGCGAGAGACCTTCCCCTCTGGTGGAACCCACAGTCCAGGTCAACTCCTCTGGTATCAAGTAAGGAGTTGGGGGGATGGAGGGATGGGGGAATCCGGGCCCACCCTCTAGTCCGGGTTCCAGCCCAGGACCCTGTGGATTGCAGCTGTCTACAGTGGCTCCTGTGACAGCTGCGTGACAGCTACAACTCCCTGGGCTACTTCCCCATGGCCTCCTCCCAACACCTTCTTTATTCTCACCACAGGACCTTCCTCCTGGTGTCTGATAATACTTGTACTTCTCAGTCTTCCAGCAGTACGCCTTCTCACTCTCAGCTTCTTGCGCCTCTTGCTCTCAGCTCCTCGCACACACACCACAGACTAAAGTGAGCTTCTTTTTTAAACCCAGGTGCCCTGATTAGCCTGCCTGTCTTAATTGATTCTGGCAGCTTCTTGATTGGCTGCAGGTGTTCTCATCAGCCTGTCTGCCTTAATTGTTTCCAGAAAGTTCCTGATTGTTCTGGAACCTTCCCTGTTACCTTACCTTAAGGGACCTACTTAACCTGGGGCTAATATATCTGCCTTCTATCACTCTCCTATAGCCATCTGGCTTGACCCTGTCACAGCACCCAGACTACAACTCCTATGAGGCACAGCGGTGGTATTTCCAAATGGAAATATTTCACTTTTTTGATTATTCGCCAACTAGTGGGCTTATGGGGCGGTTGCTCCACATGAGGTAGGGCACACAGGGTGGCTGCACCAGGCATGGCACACAGTTATGGGGCAGCCACGCCATGTGGCATGGGGCACATGGGGTTTTGGGGCAGCCATACCGGGTATGGTGGGTGGGGTAAGGAGCAGCTGTGCTCTATGGGGTGTGGAGGAACCAAGCGTCATGGGACACGGCCCATGGGCCGAGGGGCAGCCAGCCGTACAGTGTGGTGCAACCGCGGGCTTCTCTCTTGCAGTCCATGGAGGAGATGTGGGAACGCTGCGCCTGCCGCATCACGGAAGCCATCCAGTACGTGGTGGAGTTTGCCAAGCGGATGGGCGGCTTCATGGAGCTGTGCCAAAACGACCAGATCGTGCTTCTGAAAGCAGGTACACGGCTGGAACTGCTGCAGCCAGGCCCCGGCAGGGATGCCACCTCCCACAGCTGGGTCAATAACGAGGCCATCCCTTGAGCTCTCATTTGAACAGCCTCCCTGGGAAGCAGACCCCATAGGCTCTGTATTCAGAGGCACAGCCCCCAGCCTGCAGGGGCTGTTTGCACCTGGATCTGTGCTTTGACATTCAGCCCGTCTCCTGCTGCAAGACCCCGTCGTGCAACTGGGGCTGCCATGCCTGTCTCCAAACCGCGAGCATCCTTGGGTGGGAGCGTGGGCTCGGCCCACGTCCAGCACGCCCTCCGTCTCTGATCGCACTTCTCGGGGTGGACCGTACCCTGCGAATTTCCCAGCCGCTCTGGACGGGACAGCATGACTCAGGCCACGTCTGTGCTGCAGTCGGAGGGGTACGGTGGGGTGACTGCATCCCTGCGCCAGCTTTAATCTAGCTAGCAGGGCTAAATAGCAGCGAAGCCGCGGCAGCGTGGGGGGGTCCGTGGGTATGTGTTTGCATTGCCAGCCCACACTCATGCCACCATATCGTGTCACTGCTATTTTTAGCCATGCTAGCGTGGGTAAAGCTCAGCCATGCCCACCCAGGCAGCGGGCACCCATTTGATGGCAGTTTAGACGTAACCTCAAAGGCTGTGACACTTGTCCCCTACCCCCCAAATGGGCAGGAGATACCGTGCCGGGGACTAGTTTACTTCCCTGGACCTCCCTGCTCTCGTGCATGAAGGCAGAGATGTTGGGACCTCCAGTGAGTCCGTTTACTGCTTATATTTGCAACTTCTTCACTCCCCCACTCCGTTTTTGCAGGAGCCATGGAAGTGGTTCTGGTGCGAATGTGCCGTGCCTTTAATTCAGAGAACAGGACAGTCTTCTTCGAGGGCAAATATGCAGGCCCAGAGCTCTTCAAATCGCTCGGTATGATATTGTCGGTATTACGGTAAAGCACAGAGGCCCCACTTTGCGCAGGCACAGGGCGAAAGACGGTCTCTGCCCCAGAGAGCTCCCAGGCTAATGAGCCACATGGTCGTCCTCCTTTTACAGATGGGGTCACTGAGGCCCAGAGAGACAGACCAAGATTTTCAGCACTTAGCTCCCATTTAGGTAGTGGAATGAAGCAGCCAGGATCTCAGCAGTGCCCGGCTCCTCCCTTTATTCCCATGCCGGGTTGCTGAGCGTATTTGTAAACACCTTGCCCGGGGTGTCAGCAGCTGAGCCAGGACTCGAACCCGCATTCCCTGAGTCCCCATCCAGTGCCTGAGACACAAGGCCGCCCTCGATCTCTTGCTCATGGGCCGGCCTCCCCCCCGGCTTTATTACCCCAGCTGTTGGGAAACCTCCTCCCCATTGTAAAGGGATCATCTCAGGAGGGAAGGGTGATGGGTCCTTCCCAGCCAGAGCAGCCAGTGCTGCCTGCTGAGGCCCTGAAGAAGACGCCTGCATTGGCTCGCGTCCAGCGTGATGCTCTGCTGTGTTCAGTCTGGAGCGGTGGCTTTGATTTTTGCCTGGCCGATATCCGAGGGGCTGGTTGGCAACAAGCTGTGGTGCCGTTTCCTTTCTAGGCCCCTGTTCAAATCTAGCTCATGGCGCTAAGGCCCAGCCAGTGGCCGCTTAGGTTCCTTGGGCCAGCGGGCATCAGTTACTGTGTGTCTGGGGAGCGCCTAGTGCCACGGGGTCTGACTGGGCTGAAGCCTCTGGGAATATTAAATAATATCTTCGGTGGCCTCTGACCAGTTCCCGGTGGCCAGGCGTTCACATCGCAGCAAATCCCCGTTGTTGCCAATCTCAGAAGAGACGCAGAGGGTTATATGAGCCCTGGAGATTGGACTTCCCTCCCAGCCCCAGCGGGTGGAGGAGGTTTGTCCTGTGAGGTTCCCCAAAAGGTTTGGATCCCAGTGGGGACAACGCATAGTCAGCGATGCCTGTAGACCCTGCCAGAGGCTGGTTAGAAAGGAAGGCTAATCCCGCGTCTGGGTGGCGCTGGAGAGGGGGTGGGGCCACCCAGGAAGAAGCCGCAGGTGACTGACGGCTCTGCTCCGTTTCCCAGGGTGCAACGAGCTGATCAACTCCATCTTCGACTTCGCTCACAGCCTGTGCTTGCTGCGTTTCTCGGAGAACGAGATAGCCCTCTTCACCGCCCTGGTGCTCATCAACTCAAGTGAGCGTCTGCCGCTGCTGCTGCCCCTCCGTCCTAGGGCTGCAGCCCCCATCGTGGGGGGCCGGGGGATACCGGATGTTAATTGCCAAACAGCCACATAAGTAGAGCTGGCCAGAAAATAGGGGCGGGTTCCCTAGGAAATGTTGACTTTTTGATGACCCCCCTCCCCGGAAATATTTCACTTCATAATGGCACCAAATAGGGATGTAAAGATCAGTTTAAAAAGTTAACCGGTTAAACGATTAAAATTATATTGTTTAACCAGTTAACTGTTAACTGAGGTAGCCTTGGTGGGCCTGGCACTATGGGGGCCGGGGCTGGGGCTCACTCCGGCCCTGGAGTCCTACCGGCCCAGACGGCGTGGTATGGCCAGGGCTGGGGTTCCACCAGCGTGGCCAGGGCTGGTGTCCCACCAGTCTAGCACGGCCGCGGCTGGGGTCTCTCATGCTGGCGCGGGGCTGCTGGAGTTGATGCTTAAGGTTGGTTAACCGGTAAGCCTAATGCTTACCCGTTAACCTTTTACATCCCTAGCACTGAGGTGCCTCCTGGAATTTGTATTCAAGTGCCTCATGGTCCCATTCTCCTCTATAGGCCATGGTCTCTGGCTGGACTACAACTCCCATGAGGCACCACACTCTCCTCACTTGGTGAAGGGAGGCATTGTGGGAAATGTAGTCCAGCTGGAGAACACAGTCCATAGAGGAAATGAGGCAGCAGAGGCACCGAAACTGCTGCTCCAGTGAGGAATTGCGGCACCCTCATACATTGAGTTATTTCCATTTTTGGCCAAAAAATGTTTGGTTTTCGAGCGGTCAGTTTGATCGATGAAATATCACAATTTTAATGACTAAATTCCTGCAATCAAACCCCCCCCCCCCTCCCGTTTTCCATCAAAAACCGATGGAATATTTTCCACCAACCCCTGCCCCCAAACGCTTTCCTTCCTGAATCCAGTGTCCTCTGCTCTCCTGCCAGCACAGGTGGGCAAGCGGCTGGGTTTCACCCCGAGGTGCCCTCCCCCCCCCAAGGTCAAGATTGGGAAATGCTCATCAGTGTCTTCTCCTGTCTCGGTGCAGATCGGCCGTGGCTGCAGGAGAAGGGCAAGGTGGAGAGGCTCCAGAATAACCTGGAACTGGCCTTTAAACACATGTTACGGAAAACCCACCGGGAAGGCATCCTGGCCAAGGTAGGTGCATGGTCCCACAGCCTTACCTGCCTCCTCTGTCACAAGCCACATGCCCGACCGGCATAGGCCACCTCTCGAATGCTGCTGGTGTTGTGAAGCCCAGGACTTGAGGGCCTGCTTTTGGGTCCCTTTACTGTGCCCCGTCTCTGGGGCTAGTGGGCCCCCAGCGCTCCCATGCTGGAAGGAGAAGGCTCAGAGCCAGAGCGCGGTGCTTTCACCACACAGCTCTCGTTAATGTTGAGGGAGGGAGGCTTGGGCGGCTGGACCTGTAGCTGGATACACGTGTCCAATGTGGATCGGGGGCTGGGTCACTGAGGGGAGATATCTGCACTGAGCAGACAATACACTCAGGTTGGACATTAGGGACTCTCAGTAGAGGATTCTGGGTAATTATGTAAATGTTCAGTAGACGGGGAGGGTTCTTAAAATGGGATCACGCTCACAGACCAGCAGCAGAGCACGTGCACACACATGGACACACTCTCACACACTCGCACGCACATGTGCACCATGCACGCATGCCCATGCACACACACTTTCACATGCACACCCCCGCGCACACCCCCCACCCCTCCCCAGACGTGTTCAGCAGCATCGCAAGAGCTCACAGAAGCCCCAGGCGCTGCCAGACCAGTTACTGCCCTGATCAAGCTGAGACCTTCTGACCTAGTTTCACCCACCGAGGCCCCTGGCTGGCTGTGGAGTGGTGATGGATGGCCGGGTTGGTCTGCGAGGGCTCAGCAGAGGGGCTGGGGCGGCGGGAGCCGGTCCAGGCCTGGAGATCCGCCTTTATACCACGTGCCTCTCTCCCCTTTAGCTGCCGCCCAAAGGGAAGCTGCGCAGTCTGTGTTACCAGCACATGGAGAAGCTGCGGTCCTTCCGGCAGATGTACCCCATCATCGTCCACGCTGTCTTCCCCCCGCTCTACAAAGAGCTCTTCAGCTCCGAGTGCGAGCTCCAGGGAGCAGCAGCAGAATGATCCCCACGGGAGGCCGGTGCCCAGAGACCGACTCCCATCTCGCACCGGTCTGTGGCCCCCCGCTGCCCCGGGATGGGAGGTTGGTGGGGGGAGGGTTGGACCACATTAGAACCCGCTCCCTCCCATCCCCTCCCAAACAGCACAGCAGAGGGGTGCGGTGCAGGAGGGGGTGCGGCCAAGTGATCCGAGCAGACAGCTGGGAGCCAGGACTCCTGGGTTCCATGCCTGCCTCTGCCACCAACCTGAGCAAGTCACTGCCCCCTTCCGTGGGCCTCGTTCCTCTCTCTACAATGCAGCGGGGAGGGAGACACCCTCCCACACACTCCATGGGGGCGGGAGGTGATGCTTAAATAACCGTGTGACGCTCTTTGAGGTCTCAGCTGGCAGGTGCTACCAAGGCGCAAAGTATTATTGGGGAGACGCCCCGAGCCGAGACCCCAGTGGGACAGAGATCAAGGAGATCACCAGCTTTTGCTGTAACATATTCAGGGCCAAGGAAAACACACTGCCCACCCCATTACTCCAGTGACTAGCATCTAGAGACCGGCCCGGGTAGTTCAAATACCTCATTGAAAACAATTTTTTTTTTTTTTGGGTCTCCTTACAGTTTTGTGGCAGGAGAATTTTTAACCAAGCTGTTTGAAAATAATAATTGTACATAACATAGAGATCTATTTTTAACCGTTTGCCTTTACGTCCACTCTGCAGCACCAGGGGACCAGCCCCCACCCGCCCAAGCTCTTGTATTTCTTATTAATGTCTCGCAATTGACCAGACATTGCAGCCTGTAGAAAGTTTGGTGCCTGTGTCTGCCACTCTGCTGCCCCCTGCTGGGCAGAATCCCCGTCCCCATGAAATTCTCAGGGTTTCAAACCCAATAATTTGCTTTTACTCACCATAAAATATATAGAGATACTGTATAAAGTTAATATAATAAAAGGCTGTTTTTTAATGTTAAGGCTATTTTTGAAAAGCAACAAATTCTAATTTTCTTAAGTATGGGGCTGTCACGGAGCGGGAGCTGATGGTTGTTTACAAGGGGAATGATTTTCGAAATTGCCTTTTTCTAAAAGAGCTTTTGTAACCCAGTGTGTGTAAAACGATTCGAATTGAAAATAGCTGGGGGTTTGTACAGCTGGGATTCGGAAGGACAGCCACCGTTACAGGAGTCCGTCCGTGGACCTCAGCCGACTTTGGATCAAGCCAGTAGATCACAAAGGCACAATCTTAACTTCAAGGCCACCGTCGGTCCTGCTGATTTCACGGGCCACTGCCCCATAGACGCTGCGTGACATCGCTGTGAGGGGACTGCTTGGTAAAATGAAGCACTGCGGAGGGTTTGCAGAATCAAACCCCACGTTCCTTGTCTAGGCTCTTCCCTTGCGCACGAGCGCCGTGGAGCAAAGCGCAAGGAATGACCTTGGTGTTTGGCCCCTCCCAGCCAAGTCCTGCCCGCTAATGCTCACCACGCTTGCACACGCGTCTGACGATGGGACACGACCTCTGGGAGCTGCAAGGGAGAGCCCAGCAGCCGAGGTATTTCACTGAGAGGGCTACGGTGACGTCAGGGCCGGTCTACGCTGCAAGGATAGGGGGTGATTGCAGCTTGTGTGGACATACCTGAGGTAGCTCGGGCACCCACAGCAGCCAAGGCAAAGCAGTGCTGTGTTGCTGTGGTACCCCAGTGAGCTCGATCAAAGGTGTGTCTGCACACGCTGCCATCACATATCATACATACAATCATACAATCTCAGGTGGGATCACTTTAGATAAGCTATTACCAGCAGGACAGTGGGGTGGGAGGAGGTATTGTTTCATGATCTCTGTGTGTATATAAAGTCTGCTGCAGTTTCCACGGTATGCATCTGATGAAGTGAGCTGTAGCTCACAAAAGCTCTTGCTCAAATAAATTGGTTAGTCTCTAAGGTGCTACAAGTACTCCTTTTCTTTTAAAATTATTCAGCAAGAGCTTTACAGAAAGGAAGGTTGCACATAGTTTGTCACCAGACGGGGTGCGAGTTTAACAGAGGCCTAATTAATGATGGGAAACGTGCATGGACTCCAGGCTTTTTGTCTTGCCGGGTGGGTGCTGGGCTTGGACGGGTCAGAAGTACAGAATTCATGGAGGAGACGGCACAGCTAGCGATGCGGTAATAGCCAAATTAGAGCCGCCTGCGAAGTGCAAGTTATTTATCGTAGGAAATCTGTGGCTGTGGCGGGGAATCATTTCCCACCCCCCCTCTCCTGAAGTTTCTGATCAAAATATCTCCAGTTTTTTGTAGAAAAACCAGCCCCCGGCCCCAACTTAAAAACAAACCCACACAGATGTTCTGGTTCAAAATGATCAACAACAGGGAAAGGGGAAATTTTGATTTTTTAGACAAAAACACTAGAATTTTTTGACCAAAATCTTGGTCAAAAGCCATTTTTTTTATTAAAACCATTGGCCTGGTTCTAAGCGAAGCCAGCTCCGGGTGCAGACTCAGCCCACTGCAGTGCTACCGTCTTTAACACGGGTTTGGTTTTGAGTCGACCCCTGGATTCATTTGATAATTTCAGCATTCGCCGCACGCTGCTAACGCAGCGAATACAACCTAGAAGACACAGCCCCGTCCGCTGCCAGGGGAAGGCTTCTGCAGTGGCTAGAACACACAACTGAGGAGCCCTGGGTTCGAATCCTGCCTCTACCACACTCACAGTCATTGCACACCTGCTGGGGTGGAGCCTGCCCGTCTGCTATGGCTGGGCGGCCTCTCGGCAGCAAAGCAGGGGTGGGTTGGCCGGTTCCTTGTTGCGGCGGGCAGGTTCTTTGTTGCTGGATTGGACCCGAGGTGTAGCCATGCTGTAGAAGCCCTGATTTCCGGAAGTCACTGGAAGTCAGTGGGAGCAGAAAGGGCTCCACCTTCCCTGAAAATCTGTTGGGACAACGGTATACACACATGGGGACACTCAGGGAATATTTTGTCTTTCACAAGTGCCCAAGGGCTTGATTTTTAAAGGTGTGTAGGCACCTAACTCCCTTTGAAACCAACAGGAGTTAGGTGCCTAAATACCTTTAAAAACCAGGGCCTCAGGGACGTAGGAGCCTAAGTCCCATTTTCAAAAGGGACTTGGGCACTTAGGCCCAGCACCTCAAAGAGAGCTCGGCACCTAAATACCATTGGGGAACTGGGTAAACATCCTTCTGTCCCACTGGTGTGAATCAGGAGTCAATTCTGTTGAAGGCCATGGAGAAACCCCTATGCAAAACTGGTGTAAGCGAGATCAGAACCTGGGTCTTTAAGGGCAGTTCACCCCAGATTTGTAACCAACACCCAACTTCCTAAGCACGTTTGAAGCTTGCACTGTCTGGATTCCAGAGGAATTAAATTCATTGACCCTCGAAACCATCTGCCTCTTTAAGAGCGTCACTCGGACAGTCCTGTTTTCAGCACGATAAAAGACAATCAGACCCTCTCTGGCCTTAGGTCCTTTCTGAACATCTGCTAGCTTGATCCAGAGCCGACTCTTAACCCTGCAACCCAGGGGATCTGCTTCACCGATCCGTTAACCTCTTTCCATTCATGTCTAGTTTACTGTTGCTTTTTGGTTGCATTCTTTTAGTGTAAAATAATAATAATAATTCAATACATCTAACCTGCAATAGTGTCATTTTGTAAAATTGTTTAAAATATTTAAATATTTTGTCATGACAGGTTTGTAAATATGTGAAAGTTGTAATTTTTTTTAATAGAGCAATCATTCTTTAAACAAAAAAAAAGGGTTTTAGTTTTCATTTAAATTAATTAAACTTATGGTGCATTTTTGTTTGTTTGTTCGTTCGTTTGTCGCCCAGGGTTATATGTTTACTTGCAAGGGTTTAAAAAATATATTATTCAGAATGCACATTGTAATGAAAAATTTATTGAAAAGTGTCCAGTTTTCTCTGCTATTTTCAATAAACTAGGTTGCCAAGAAATGGAGCCCGACTGCTTATTTGTGGCTCTGCGGTTATTCATAGGGTTGCAAACTCTTGTGGTTTTATCACGAGTCTAGGGCTGTTTTTGTTATTTACTAAATTTCACCGTCCTCTGGGGCACGGAGCTCGGTTTGCCTGCTGGATATATCTCACCAAGCCAGTTCCCTGCCACTGCAAGCGCATTGGGCATGGATGACACTTCGGTCCCTTCCTGGTCTCTGTCTGTGCTGCACAATGGTTCAGTCTCCTGAGGACCAAAATGCTTTAGTCTAACTAGAATTTTGGGGCTTATATAGGGCTGTTTGAAGGAACATTTATTGGCCTGTGGTACACAAGAAGCCAAGCTAATGGTCCTGGCTGGCCTTAAACTCTTATGAAATCTGCTTGTACTATGGTAGGACCTAGGAGTCATGGCCGCAGATCAGAGCCCCACTGTGCTAGGCGCAGTACAGACATGGCCAGTCCCTTGCCCCAAAGAGCTGATCATCAAAGTGTTTTATTAAAGCCCCAGCTTCTAGAGTCATGGGATGACCGGAGATTTCATTTTTTAACAAAGCTGCTCGCCCTTGTGTGTGCAGAGGAAGGTTTGGAAGGCTCAGGAACAGCCTCCCCCCAATGATTACTTTTAAAATTCTCAGGATTATTAAGCCGCGCCCCTGATTTTCCAAACGCTTGGGGCTGGCGACGGTGGGGGCTCCCCAGGCGGGCTCGGCGCCTGTTTGCACTAGGTGCCATATACAGTAATAAAAAGGGGACAGTCCCTGCCCCAGAAAGCTCCCAGTCAGGGTTAATGACAAGGGGGGACAGCTGGACAGAAATAGAGCGGTGGGGTGGAGGGTAACGCAGTGGTTTGCCCCTTAGGCTGGGGTGGCTGGAGCTAAGCCACCCTCATCACAGAACGAGCCGCATCTGAGTGAAATCAGGGAATTGCCCATAAAGAGCCAGGCTAAAGCCCTGATGCAGGGCAGCTGGGGACAGAGCTGGATGGTGAGCTGGGGTAGGAAAGGAAGCTGAGAGCAGGGACAAGGGGGCCTGCGACAGGACAGACCCTGACTAAATGGGAGAGACTGGGAGACCCAGAGGGGCAACAAGAAACCACAAGGTGGGAAATAGCCCAGGTAAAACCGCAGCCCTGGTAAAGGGGCGGAGTGGAGCTAGCTGTTCAGGGCAGGGCCACAGAGCCCTGCTGTGAGGGGGGAGCTGGGTTTCCCTACCAGCCCCAGCAAAGGGAGCTGCAGGCTGACCCTCGAAGACAACAGCCCCAGAGAGGGCAGAAGGGTCTCATTTGTGTTCAGACATTTCTGGGGACTTTTTAGTTGGTGACTACCAAAGAAATGGCCTGAGGACTGTGCCCCCGGTTGGAAAACCAGCATAGAGCCTCAGCAGCCCTCTGCAGGGGCTGTCCCGTGGCGAGGGGACTCAGTGACCGGGGCAAAAGGGCACGGGCTTTTGTGTGACATTTGTGGTGCTGTAGCACGTGGTGGCCCGGATTGGGGCCCCGCTGCGCCAAGCACAGCACGCACAGACGAAGAGCTAACAAACACCGAGGAGCTAACAAAAAATAGAGAGGCGAGTTACAATCTGCTCACGCCTCGGAAGGGCTGGGGCTGCGGAGCACTGGGCCATCAGACCCATCTGCCAGGCTGGTCCCAGTGTCCTGGCTGCACTCTAGGGAACTGTCTAGTCACGTTGCAAAAACCATAGTCTCTGCTACAGGAGGGCCCCCCCTTGTGTCAGGCTGTTCCATCATGGGGATGGCTACAGGCTTCCCCCTGACCCGACCTGCAATCCCATAAATTCCTCGCTACAGATCCTCCTGGTTTGCCACCATAGGGGGGTCAAACAGGCCCAGGGAAGGGAACCCCACCAGGGCGAGAGGCAGCCAGTGATCTGTGGGCAGCCCCTGGGTGGGGAGGCAGATGGCATAGGCGGGAGAGTCCCTCACTGGAGTCCAGTGGAGGAGCTAAGAGCTAATGCAGTGTCACCGAGCAATGGTGGGTCTGTCTTTGTCCTGCCAGGCTTGGGGCTCTGCCCCTGCAGTGTGTGGGTTCCTCACAGCACTGCCTAGGGGTGTGATATTGCCAGATCCCACCAGCCAAGCAAGGTTTGGCCAGTTCAAATTGTTGGCATCTTACTGAGGAAGGGGGCATCTTTCCTCCCAAATCTGCCTTAAATCAAGCCACAGTGTGCTGGGGTGGCAGGAGGCCTTGCTTTTCTGATGAGGAAGGATAGTCCAGTGGTTAGAGCATTCGCCTCATGCTTGGGAAAGCTGGGATCACATGCTAGATGTGGGGAAAATATTTACTGGGGAGTCTGGCCTGCTTCCTGCCCCACGTGGTGCCCCCAGAGAAGGGCATGCTGCACCTCCGAGGAGTTCTCAGTGCAGCATGAGAATGTTCAGTTATTTTGTCAGGCTGCCTGAGGGCATTCACCCTGCTGAGTAGCAAAGGTGTATTGCAAACAATGGAGGTGTACAAGCCCCTCAAAGAAAACATAGCAAGAAGTCATTATAATGGAAAACGTTCGACAACGTAAATATAGGGTGCGCTACCAACTCCCCCCGTGTGTATGTATGCAACATAGGTGAATGCAATGGAGTAGTAACAAAAGCTAACTTAATGCACCATCCTGGTTGAGAATTTAAACACCTGCCCTTTGGAAAATTCAAATCCCAAGACTAAAACCTTGCTTGCGCGCCAAGAACAATGAACTTGGAAGACCATGCATCCCAGCGCCACCTGGTGGCGCCTGCCACAGCAGCGTCATTGTGGCAGCCTTAGACCCCACGTCCAGCACTCCAGCTACACGCTCAGCTCTGCACTTTAGTACACTGCTGACTTCGCGGTAGGAAACATTGTAGCCCAGGGGGTTCAAACCAGTTTTGTGAGCTCTGCACGGAGCATCTTCAGCTCTGCCCAAGGCCCTTGTGCTCGTTAAGGACTAAAGGGCTGGGATATATTCTACAAGGAAAATACATCCCAGAGATATCAAAGATTAAGGAGGAAATCAACAGTTCCGAAAGTGTCTTATGGGGAGAAAAGCACCATTTTAGTCCTATATTTTTATTACTATTCTCCTCGGATTCTTATACTGTGCCTAGCACAAGGTATCGAAGTAGCTTATGGCATCACTTAGCCTCCACCGAGATCAGGGTGCTGTTGCGCTAGGTGCGGTACATACACATGCCATAGGAGACTGTTTCCAAAGCTTGCGATCAGCGGTGGAAGAAACATACATTATCCCCATTTTACAGATGGGGAATTGCGGCACGCCGAGATGCAGCGACTTCCCCAGCATCATCCGGTGAGTCGATGGCAGAGCAAAGGGCTGAAGCCAGGTTTTCTGCGCCCTACTCCCCTGGTTTAACCATCTTTTCCCTCTCTGCGCCCAAGAAGTCAAATAGAAATCATTATTTGCCACACAACCCCACTTTGGAGCGAGAACAGCCTAGAGGGTGTTTTTGATTATAATGTTTTAAAGGTTTACAGTTGGGATCCCTTCTCATTCAGAGCATGAAGCTGCTATACACACCAAGGCACTTGTCTTGCTCTGTCCTGAACTTTGGCACAGCGTTGCTGTGTGCTGTTAGCGGCTGCGTTCCACCCCCGAGGTGGCTGCATTCCCGTGGAAGTGATTCTTGGGCAGAAAGCCCTCTAGGCTGAAAGGCCCTACAGAATCATGATTGCGTTAGTCACGTATTTTTAACGTCACCCTTTCTATGGGGCACCGACACCCAATCTGGTAGATGTTGACCCTTCCAATCCCTCTCTTCGTACCCTGGCAACTGCAACATGAGTCAGTGCAGTGTTCATAGGCTTTAGCTGCGCTGAGATTCAGTGCTTAATTTGCTATGAAAGAGGTGCCGGGCCCCACGCAATTTTTTTTACATTCAGAACGGATGCAGCAAACCCAGAGGTGCCGGGGCTACGAACTGCCAAGCCCAGAGGTGTCGGGGCTCAGCCCTGGCACTGCTGATATTTCATGCCAGGCCAGCAACAACAGAGCTGCAGTGGGAACAAGGAAAAGGTGACAGTCACGTTCTCTTTTGCTACAAGGGAATCCCCCTGGCTGACAAGCGGTCGTCTTAGGGTTTAAAAAAGAATTGCTGGCTCACTGAGGCCCGATCCTGCGAGATGCTGAGTACCACAGATCTCCGGGAAGACTTGGTAAAGGGACTACTAAGTAGGGTTGCTAGGTGTCCGTTTTTCGACCGGAATGCCCAGTCGAAAAGGGACGCTGGTACCTCCGGTCAGTACCGCTGACTGGACTGTTAAAAGTCCGGTTGGCGCGAAGATGGCAGGCTCCCTATCTGGCACCACACGGCTCCCAGAAGCAACCGGCATGTCTCTCCGGCTCCTAGGTGGAGACACAGCCAGGGGGCTCCACGCATGCTGCCCCCACCCTGAGCGCTGGCTCTGCATCTCCGATTGGCCAATGGGAGCTGTAGGGGTGGTGCCTGTGGACGGGGGCAGTGTGCGCAGAGCTGCCTGGTCATGCTTCCGTGAGTCGAAGGGACACATCGCTGCTTCTGGGAGCTGCCTGAGATCTGCACCCCCTCCCACACCCCAACCCCCTGCCCCAGCCATGAGCTCCCTCCCATATCCAAACTCCCTCCCAGAGCCCGCACCCTGTACCCCAACCTCCTGCTCCAGCCCTAAGTCCCCTCCTGGACCCTACACTCCTTCCTGCACCCCTGCCCCAGCTCAGAATCCCCTCCCACACTCCAAACCCCTTGGCCCCAGCCTGGAGCCCCCTCCTGCAGCCCAAACCCCTCCTCCCCAGCCCCACTCCATAGCCAGCACCCCCAGCCGGAGCCCTCACCTCCTCCCCTGCACTCTGCCCCAGCCCCCTGAAAATGAGTGAGTAAATGAGGGTGGGGGAGAGTGAACAACCAAGGGAGGGGGGAATGGAGTGAGCAGGGGTGGGGGCTCAGGGAAGAGGCAGGACAGGGGGCTGGGCAAGGGTGTTCGGTTTTGTGCGATTAGAAAGTTGGCAACCCAACCAATAAGGGCAAAATAAAGGGGACGGGGGGAAAGTCTACTCCCAGGACTGCAGGCTGGGAACTTGC